AACAATCCAGAACTTGATTATATATTATTTTTCATTGCTTCTGTCTAGCTCATAATGTGTGTGAGCAGAATTTGTCAAAAATGTGCTAAAAATGTTTGAATGAATTAATGAAATATACTTTTGTGTTATACTTCATAGGGCCTCACACAAGAGTAGGCACTCAATAACTAGCAACTGCTATAAGCTGGTAATAATAAGAGATATTCCTAAGGATTTGTACTGTATTAGTGCTCTTAAGAATCATTGTCATCTTTGTTTACAATATTGAGTTATTTTCTGTTAGCAGACAGAATAACAGTTAATGTGTTTTGCATGTCCATAAATGTCAGCAGAAAACTAGAATGAGGTGAATTGTTCTGTTGACAATACAGGATGGCAAATTCACTATCAAACAAAATGTAATTGCTAGGTAGTTAATTATACATTCTCTCTCTCTCTCTCTCTCTCTCTCTCTCTCTCTCTCTCTCTCTCTCCCACTCCATTTCCACTGAGTTATCACCATAAGTAGTCAGAGTAACTGTAAAATGGAAAGAATATGGTGTGAAGAGAACAGAGGATATGATTTCTGTGACTGAGTTCCCACACCATCACTTGACCTACTATGTTAGCTAGTGACAGAGAGAATTATGAGTAAGGAGCCCCAAAGGATCACATCAAAGTTGGATTTTGGACATTCTTAGTGCTGTCTCTTCCAATCTGAGAAAAATGCAAGTAAAACTCAATCTAACAAAGTTTATGATGAGAAACTAGAGAAACTATTGAAATTAATAACTAAGTACCAACTTCCAAATTATAGAGAACTGATTTGTTAATTAGCACCACATAAAATACCTGTTGAATATCTGTAGTAGGGATGAGAGTAGTAGAAAGAAAGAAATGGCAGCCAGAGGTGACATAGCTCATTTTGATGCAGAGTAGTCTGGGCTTGTATTGTACAAGGCTGGAGAGGCCTGCAAATACTCAAAGGGAAGTAAGAATGCAAACATCAATGTGAATCTGAGAACCTGTGAGGGAGCCAAACAAGATAAAGTGGCCCCACTGTCTAATGGTGTGGATAATCCACAATATGCATGGTTTATTCCAGAATAACTATGATTTATCACTTCTCAATTAAATATACCCTAATCATCTTACCATAAATATTCCTGAAAAGATTTCATTATACGACTTCTTGATCATATTAGTGAAATGTAATTTTTAGTCTCAAAGATTCCTTAGTCATTTTTTATCTTCCTTTCTCTTTCTGATGGATGTCCTATATATTCAATAAGTCATCAAGTTATATTCACCTCCTCAATTTGGAAACATCTCTGATATCTGTCTCTTCCTGCCACCACTCTGGTCCAAGCCTCCATTACAGCACCCCAGAATTAATACAACAGATTCCTAAATGATTTTCCTATCTCCCCTATGAAATCCACATTGTTTGCATCCACTATATTAATATTTCTATATATTCATATTTTAAATTCCCTTCTCAAATATCTTCAGACTTTTAACCATATTCAGAAAAAAGTCATATCTATTCTGACTGGTTTACACAGCCTTCCAGAATTTGATTCCATAATGGCAGTCTAACCCCAAACACCCAGCACTTACCAAACAGGAGCCCGGAGTTTGAGTTGAGTGTCTCTCCCAGTGTTGTGCTTTCCTCCATGGCTGGAACTCACCAACCCTCTTCTCTACATAACTAAATCTAATCATCCCTTAAACCCCAACTCCTGTCCTTCTCTTCCTCCAAGTCATTCATTTGGTGTCCGAAAATATGTTTGCTTATATTGTTTAGTTGTGAAATGTTTAATATGTGAATTTCTATGTCCTTTCCAAAATTAAGATAAGGCTCATACTTTACTCTTCTTATCTATATCTCTGCAAGTAGTCAGTAAATGAAGTTGAAATATACAATGGGGAGCATAGTTTAAAAATTGTTAACCCAAGAGCCCATCAATTTAAATTTAACAAATACATAAAATTTAGTTTTAATGAGTGCTTTGCATTTTATATGTAGTTTTGTGCCTAGACAATCTGTTTTATAAACTCCAAGCACACAATTTCCTTTTCAAAAATTGCTAAGCAAATCTATTTTTCAAAAGTAATATATATATATTACTCAGCCTTATATTTTATTACATATTTTGAGCATTTAATTTAGGTTTTATTATCAAATCATCAAGTATATCTGTTTGATACCAATAATTACTATGGAATTATGAAAGCAGAAAGTTAATCATTGCTTTTTCAAGAATAAAAGAATAGTCATAAATATCCTGTTATACTAAAGCCTTCTCTTGTTTTTCCTGGATGGCAATATGAAGCATTTAATTCTTAGAGAAAGATGATCCTCATATTCTATTAAGTTTCACTTCTACTACTTCAGGCTTTCAATTATGTAACAATATAATTAGGTAACTGGTGAAAATGTCAAGATTAACATATTTTAATTCATGATAAATATGCTCAACAGGGTTTCCTGGAATCAAATCTTCCTGCAAGGCATTTCGTTAGTGTGTTTTCAATTGGAAAAATGTTAATAATTCAAGGACTGAAGATACACAAAAGGAAAATGAGATAAAATTAAATCATGCCCTATTGTTTAAAAAAATGGTAAATTTATGCCAATACCTATAGAAATGTAACCACTATGTTTGTAGTCATACTTCTGAATGTAATTACATGCCATTTCCACCTTCATGCTGGAAAAATAGTATTAAAAGAGAAATCTTTTGAAAAAAATTAAGTGAAACAAACCATGTGATCCCACAATTACAAGATTTGTATCTTCAAGGAAAGAAAAATTTAGGCCAAAAAATTTAGGCCAGCCGCAGTGGCTCACACCTAGCAGTTTGGGAGATCAAGGCAGGAGGAGCGCTTGAGCCCAAAATTTTGAGGTTATAGAGAGCTCCGATGACATCCCCGCACACTAGCCTAGGCAACAAAGCAAGACCCTGTATTAAAAAAAAAAAAGAAGAAAGAAAAAGAAAAAGAAAGAAAAGAAAAAGGAAAAAGAAAAGAAAACTTTATCCTTTATAAATTCCACAGACTATAACAAAATTATAGTTTATGATAGCTTTCATGGGAGGAAATACGTCTGAGGGACTAAAGAAAAGAAGTGACAGTTTTAAAATATCTATATCTTAATTAATGCCTATGACCTATGTGTTCCCGTCAAGCTTCTGCATTCCTGTCTATAGGAAAAGAATAAAAAATTTTTAACTAATTTTTAACTAATGACAACACATTTCTAAAGTGGGCTTAAAATCTTTCCAAAATGCTGAGGGACATCTCTTAAATGAGCAGACATAATAAAATTCTGACTACTTCTTTGAATTACAAATTTAGTATATTTTTTTGATTTTTCATTAAATAAGTACAACCAATTTAAAAGTATAAAGACAGTACAGATACATTTCAAAATGGCAAATTATAAAGTGCACTGCCAAAGTGCCATAATAATTGTTATCCCGAAGTAGCCACATGTAAACAGTACTGAGTTACAATATTTGAAAGCAACTAATAGAGTCTGCTAGCAGAACTACATGGTGAAAAATCTTAGAAAACTAGTACTTGTCACTAACACCTTACGTAAAATATCCCCATTTTCATCTGACTCATATACAAACACATTGTCATTTGACCCAGAAAATAATTTCTCAGTGCACATACAGACTTGCAGTAATACAGTGACTGAAAAATCGGTCATTAGAAGAATGGCTGAGAGATGGTGACCACGAAAGAGACTTGATTAATCAAAAAGTTAAAAAACCAAAGGAGATGCAAGGCAAGGACTAGTGTGCACATGCAAGGAAATGGAGTGGAGAGGGAGCAGGGCAGACAGAATGTAACAGGCATCGATTAAGGTGGAACAGAGCAAATGGTTAATAATACAATGGTTATGACTCAGAAGAGTACAAGGAGAGAGGTAGAAACATTTCCTCCTCTTTTTGAACTATATATACATACATAATTAATTGTTACTAAGCGAAATCCATTTTTAATTTGAATTAGGTAAATTTTAATGTGAACTGTAGTTTAGACTTTGTTGCCACAGCTACCTCACAGGATTGCGAGGATCAAATATACTAGTTGTGAAAGTGCTACATAAACTATAAAATGCAACACTTACATAAGATAGTATCTACTCAAAATACAGACAAAAGTTCTCAACTCTGGGAGCGGGCCAGCAATGAGCTCTCCAGGGCACAGAGGGGAGAAAAATCTCACACTTGTCCATTTCTAGATTTTCTTGGAACAGTAGACTCTGGCTTTGAAAGCATAACAAAGACAGTAGCACACTGGTCTAATGGACATGTGCACAATGTCACACAAGAATTGTGGGGAGAAAAATACTTCCTAATCTTTGGAAGAAATAAATTCCCTTCCACATGTTTTAACCTTCCTAAATGCTTATTGGCTGTAAAAGTGTCATATTAAATTATGCTAATTTCTCTCATGTGAGGAGGGAAGATAAGGGGCAGGAAAGGTAAAGATTCACAAAAACATGCTTGAAATGTAATATTTTCTCTTCAATATCAACTACTAGAATAGAAAAAGAAGTCTAGAATATACCAGATATGAGTTCATTGCTAGGAACTGAGGCTTAGCTAGACTCAATAACTTATTTAAGGCCACTTATTCAACACCACAAAGCCAATATTTCACTCCAGGTCTGTGTCATATCAAAGCCCCGATAATTTCCACAAAAATAACATAGCCTCCCATATTAAAAAAAGGAGGCTGGAATGATAAACAGGTAAGAAGAACCAACCCATACTTTTAGCTTTTTCTTTTAGCTCTACCACCAGATTTTAAAAATATTTTGGCACTATATAAAATCTTCATTAAGTTTTTGATGTAAAACAGCAGTACCACAATCTCTGATCATTTAATGCTCAAAGGACTCAAGGTCCTTCTCATTACATCAACAGCAAATGCAATAATTAATCATTGTAAAATGCCCTAAATTTTTCAAGAAAGAGCACAAAACCATGAAAACACAAAGATGAAAAGACCTTAAAACAATGTATTCAAGCCACCTCATTTTATAAATAAGGAAATTAAGGCTCAGATAGGTTAAGTGACTTGATGAGGGTCACACGACTGGTGAGTTCCAGACTCAAGGTTGTAGTCCAGGGCTGTGTTGTTTTGCAAACCAATGAGAAATGTTTGCATTTAAACATTTAGTCCAGAATATCCTCAAAATTGGCTGTAATAACAGTAAGCCACATGGTGAGGAACGGATAGAGTCGGTTCATACCAAAAATGAGCTGCCAGTCACTGTGATAAGATCCGTTTCTTTCTGAGAACCATGGTTTCCTGCTGGATTGGAGAATCCAAACTGGGTTTCCTCTTCCTGTCCGAAGAAGTCAGAGTCAGGAGGTACGTTCCACTCTGCTTTGGTTGGCGTCAGGAGTTCTGAGACACTGTTTTCACAAAGGGTGCTCGAGGGAGTCAGGGCATCTGTGTCCACTGTTAGCTTATTGCTGGGTGTCAAAGCTTGGGGCTCGGGACTGGAGTTTTTCATAGCCAAAGAGCCCAGGGATCCCAATGGTCCCGCACTTACACTTGAGACATCATCCAAATCTAAGGGGCTCTGCTGAAAACCAGCGGCTGCCGTTCCAAAAAAGAGAGAGGTATCCAGACTTTGAGGAAGGTCACTGGTGGCCATCAAGGCCCGAGGGTCCACTGCCTGCCCTAAGGAATTAGTATTATTATTAGCAGGGAGGTTCCCTGCCAGAGTTGAGCTCACAGAAGCCACGTCAATAGTCAAGATTCCAGAGTTCACCAATGCTGCGTCCAGCACTGCAGCAGAACTACTGTCAGGCACATCAGAGAAGAGAGACACTATCTCTGCATCGCTGAGATCATTCTGTCCCTGGCTGGTAAGTTCGCTGCTGGGTGTAAGAGAATTTGCTGCTTCTAGCTGAGCTAAGAGATCCTGGGCGATGTTGTGCCTTTTGGCCATGTGGGTCTTCATGCTGTGCTTGGATGTGAAGAGTTTATTACAAGTGGAGACCGGGCAACGGCTTTTCCAAGTGTCCACATCCTGCAGGTGTTTCTTGGAGTGAATGTAGAGACTACTGCGAGCGGAGAACCTGGCACAGCAGCCTTCCACAGGGCACACGAAAGGCTTTGTGCCTAGGTGGGTTATGCTGTGGCCTTTCAGATGCTCGGCCCTCGTGAAAGATTTCCCACAGCCTTCCACAGGGCAAGTGAACCTCCGGTCATCATCGTGCTTCCTTTTGTGCCTTAAGAGTTTGGACATGCTGGTGAAGTTCCAGCCACAGCCATCAAAGTCACAAAGGAAAGGTCTCTCGCCGGTGTGGCTCCGCAGGTGAATTTTCAGCCTACAAGCCTTGTCATACTGTTTGCTGCAGCCAGGAAAAGAGCAGGAAAAGAGTTCCTGTTCCCTGAAATGGGCGCGGTTATGGGAAAACAGGGCACTCACTGTGATAAATGTCTTCTTGCAGCCGGAAAAGGCGCACTGGTAGGGCCTCTCGGGCTCAAAGTGGCTGCGCTGGTGGGCGCTGAGTTTGGCCTGCGTGGGGAAGCTCTCCTCGCACACCTCGCATTTGAATGAGTTCTCCTGCTCGTGGCCCTTCATGTGTGCCTTGAGGTTGTACACGGTGGTGAAGCTCTTGCCGCAGCCCTCCGCGGGGCAGCCGAAGGGCCGCAGTTTGTCGTGCGACTGCAGGTGCCTCTTGAGCTTGTAGGAGGTGGTGAAGGTCCAGCCGCAGCCGCCCAGTGGACACTTGAAGGGCCTCTGGCCCTGGCTGCTGCTGTGCGTCAGCAGGTGCACCTTCAGCTGGTGTTTCTTGGCAAAGGTTTGCCCGCACTGCGCCTCGGGGCACAGGTACAGCATCACGCCTGGGCCGGGGCCCAGCGACCCGCGGGGGCCCAGGGCAATGGCTGGTCCTTCCGCTGCCTCCTCCTCCGGCGCCGGGACGGGCGCCGGTTCGGCCGGCTCGGCCAGCAGGAGGTCGGGCGGCAGCTCTGGACAGTCACCCGGCTGCGCGGCGTGCGGGAACCCAGCCTGCGCGGCGATCAGCCCCGCGCGCTGCGGGGCAGGCCCGACCCCCGGCTCCCAGGCGGGTGGCGGGGGCGTGGCCAGGGTGAGGACGCCGTTCTCAAAGCGCAACAGCAGGTCCTGGTTGTGGACAGTGACGGTGCCCGCGAAGGCCGCGGCGGAGCCGGGGCCTGGGGCGGAGATCTGGGCCGGGGTGGGATCCGCGGACAGGCAGCGGGGGCCCAGCGCGGGGCAGCCCGCGGGGTTCGCGCCGCTCTCGCCCCCCTGGGGCCCCGGGCCCGCCTCGGCCTCCTCCCTCCACTCGGGCCCTGCGGCCTGACCGGCGCCTGCGGTCTCCACGTCGCCACCCACCGGGTCAAGCAGTACCAGGAAGAAGTCGTCGCCGCCGCCGCTAGCGTGATCGGGCCTCAGCGCCAACAGGCTCGGGCCAGCGCCCCGTGAGGCCGTGCGGGCCTCCTCGCGCCGCCGCCCGGGCCCGCCATCTTGGGGGCCCCGGAGCAGCAGGAGACGGCGCGTGGGGGCCTGGCCAGCCGGCGGGTCAGGGCCTCCGTCGACCCGGCCGCCGCCCGCGGGGCTACCGCCACAGCCGCCCGGTCGTGTCCCGCGAGCCGGGAGCAGCCTCGGGATTTCCATCTCGGCGTCCGTGAGGCTCGGCTGGAACCAGAGCCGCAGAGGAGGCGCGACCCCGCCCCCTGCCGCGGGCCCGAACACGTTCCTGTAAGAAAAAAAAAAATGTGCAATGCGCAGAAACTGGCCCTATCAGATATTAAAACGTATTTAACGCCACAGTGATTTAAATATTCTGGTACTGGGTCTCTGGAACAGAATAGAAAGCCCAGAGGCAGAGCCTGGTACGCATGAATGTGTCCCACAATTAATAATAGTTACCATTATATAATTCAGGAGATCCTTGGAGGTGATGGTGAAATGACAGCTCATTCAGTAATGGTGCTGGAACACATAGCTAGCTATCTGCTAAAAGCAATTTAAATCCATACCTCACTGTATACACCAAAATAAACACACCCCAGCCCCTCCCAGTGCTAAGTACGTTGCTTATTATTTTTTCGGTGTTAGAAATTCTCTACTGGCTGGCTCGATGGACGAATGACAGAAAATTCCTGGGAGAATAAACTTTCTCTGTGTCAGCATTAACCCACCATAGTGATAGCGTTTCTGCTGGAAATGTCCTACACTACCCCCGGCCCCGCCCCAGACACACACACCGCTGCCCCAACACAACTTCCATGCTCAGAATTGTCT